AAACCATGCACTGGGTAAGGGGGATGTTTACCTTGTAGGAACTTTTTTGTATAAGGGGTTCGCACCTCCATTACTCTCAAAATGAAATGGAGATTAATTTTTAATATTTCATATTTGCAAAGTGGGAATTAAACTTTAATATCGTGTACATTAGAATATTTTGCACAAAAGAATGGACACGCGGCACCATGAAGGAGTGACTTTATTCATTGAAAATGGTGAAAAGTTAGCAGCTCTTTATACGTTGCACATATTATCATACAAATATTTGTGCGTACTCATACGGAAACTTATTCAGAGACGGGCCATCTATTCATCATCATCTGAGTGTCCGAGTCTTACATATCTGAAAGAAACAACTCGTTTACATATGTACAATAACAGTTGTGAACCACTCCGATTACTGTCACCGCCATATTGGCCAAACACCCAAACATCAACATTGCCAGCTAAGTTGCTGACTGGTTTTTTTGCTAAGCGCGTCTCGAGATTGTTGCATGATTAGAACTGGTTATTTCAACCCACTTTTACGAGGGCGCGCCGTTCGGCTGAAATGACTTGCATCAGATACACCATCGCCTGTGTCAAGACATTTCATACTGTGTAAATAGTTAAAGAGCGGTGGTCGTCGTGCAGCGCGTGTTCGAATTTCATGTAAATAAAAAATGTATTTTACACGCGTTGTATACGTCGCTATGAGTCCCATATCGAACAGGACGCGGCACGACGACTGCCGCCCTTTAACTTTGCCATTTATTGTATAGAAATGTACAAGATTAAATAAAATATTTTGAAAAGCAATCGCACCGTGATCTTGTCTGAGTCCCCCATTATTAGTTTGCCGTCTCCTGTTCAGGTTGGAATAACCCAACTCGTTGTAATCGCGTAACGATCTCCAACCGCACTTTATAATAGCAAACCAGTGCTGTTTTGGAACAATATGTCGGTGATGTGGCTGTTTTCGGAACAATATGGCGGTGACAGTAAATATAGTCTGGTCCCCTGCCCCAATTTCAACGCTGAGGGTGGTGAAGAAAATAGTCTGGTCCCC